ATGTCTACAATTTAGCGGTTTAAACAAATGAAGTAAATCAATCATTTGATAACAGGTGAAACATATTGAAACAGCTATTACTATACTTTATAATGATGAAATTTATTAATAAAAGTTTTTATTTATTATATTGATCATAGAATAGTTTAATTATTTATTATTGTTATCATTGGTACAAGTGTACTTCAGACTTACTTAAATTGACGAGAGTTTATGATGAAACAAAATGATAAAAAGAAAAACAAACACATAAACAGCATAGATGTTGTTTGTTTTTTGAATTGTAGAAAAATAGAATATTCATCATTTTGTCAAGATCTTTACAAAATATCTTAACATTTCCGAGATATTTCTTAAACATAGATTTAATACAACCATATAGAAATGAATAATAAGTTGAACTAACATTCACCATTATTTTTGGAAAAAAACCATCGTAGTTATTCAAGAATAAAAGTTAAGTAATTTATCTAAATGGTGTATTTAGGTGATAATATTTATCAATATTGTTTAAGTGTTTAAGTCTCGCTAGTAATCACGTGATTTATTCGCCAATCGAAATACGACTGATTTAATCTTGGTACTGTTGCGAACCAATGATGTTCGACCAGTATGAGTAGCCTAGCGTCCTTATTGGTCATTTGTTCGCCTAGCCCATCCAGTTGAGCCGAGAACGCCAATAACAGCTCCCATTATGCGAATCATTTACTTCAAACATACTTGGTTTCTAAACAAGCCAGCCAGACCACGTCATACCACAAAATAGGAAATAACATTTATATAAGATCAAGCCAAAAGTGGCAGTGAACATGGGAGACTGTAATCAATAAAGCGAACATAACTTAAGAACAGTAAATTGTATAATAATAAATTATACGTCAGAATGTAGCCTATAATAAGAGGAATACAAATATTTATAATCTGATTACTGAATAGTTATACAATAAGAATATATATATATATATATAATATTAGTCCATTAAGAGTTATCAGGCATCAGTAGGCCTCAACATACAAAAGGGGAAAACCAAAGGCCTCAAATACAACACGGAAAACACCAAACCAAACACTCTTGATGGAGAAACTCTGGAAGATTTAGAATCTTTTGCGTACATGGGAGGCATCATCGATGAACATGGAGGTTTAGATGCAGACGTAAAGGCGAGGACAAATAATGCATGGGCCGCATTCCTACAATTGAGGAACATATGAAACTCAAAACAACTATCTGTCAACCAATATCAAAGTCACAACCTTCAATACGAACATCAAGATAGTTCTAATGTATGGAGTTGAAACTTCGAGAAATACTACAACCATCATCAAGAACGTACAAGTATTTATAAATAGTTGTCTACACAAGATACTCAATATCCGTTGACTGGACATCATGAACAACAGCCAACTGTGAGAGAGAACAAACAAGCTTGCAGCTTAGTAGGAAATTAGGACAAGACATTGGAAGTGGATAGAACATACATTGTAGAGATCACCAAACTGCATCACTAGGCATTCGCTGAATTGTAATGCTGGAGAGAAGCGGAAAAGTGGAATGCCAAAGAACACATTATTTCGAGAAATCGAAGCAGATATGAAAAGAATGGATAATAAGTGGAAATAGTTGGAAAAGATTTGCCATGACAGAGTTGGATGGAGAGTGTTTGTGGGCGGCCTGTGCTCCTCCACGAAAAGTAACAGGCGTAAGTAACTAAGTAATAGTTGTCAGAAGTTATCCTTAATTTAATCATCACTAAGGTATAACAGATTTTAATTCATTTGTTATAAACTAAGTTAGATAAATCAATAGTAAACCTGTTTCATTATTAATCTAAATGTATCACTCATATATCACATATTTGTACCTGTCTTTGATGTAATGATAACCATGAAATTGAGAAAAGTTTGACAATGGAATCATTATTTATACTTCATACAGTTGTAATTAAACGTTTTTAGAAAAACATGTTAATCTGTCTTTTTTATTTAATATAAAGAATATTTGGGTTTTAGGAAAATGATAATCATGCAAAATATAGATTTGATAGATGTAAATCAAACTTCTAATCAATGTGTTGAGTATTTATTTTGACTATTAATTAGACATTTCGTACAGATCAGTGAATATATCATACTTCAGCACTTAAAATATGTTATAAAATGTGTGACGTAAATGTCTTGTTATCAGTAATACGATCACATGTACATTAAATCGTTCACGTTTACCAACTGGAAGTTTTTAAAAAACATTATCACTGTAATGAACAAGAACACAGGTGGGAACAATCAAATGTACTTAAGCATTTTAGTAAAATCTGAGAATCATATAGTAAATACTTCGTTTACAAAATATCAGTCAGTTGTGTCAAACGTGACTGTTTCTTCTGCAAATGGCAATGAATTGTTTCAGACTTCATTGTTCTTTTGTTTCCACAACAATTATTCTTTGTTCTCATGATCTTTTCTTTGATCTTCTTAATCTTTTGCCTCCAGGTATTTTACTTTGGATTGATGTTACATACTACTTATATCTGTCACGATCAGTAGCACACACCACATAATAACGTGCAGAACTAAAATACATTTATATCGAAATTGTGCTGAAAAAACAAACAAACATACAAATAAACTACATGAAATAATTCTAATTTCCAACACAATTCTAAGTGAATAAGAAGTGTAGTATCTTGATGGAGTTTTGTTCTCTGAGTTGGATAGTTTGGTCGTGGAGCTTTCATCGTTCTTCTGAACGACATCATCGGCACAAACTTCTATCTGAAGTTCGTGAAGTTTGTGCTGATGATGTCGTTCAGAAGAACGATGAAAGCTCCACGACCAAACCATCCAACTCAGAGAACAAAACTCCATCAAAATCATCCACCTGGGCTACAAATCTACACCATCTCAAGTGTAATATCGTTTAAAAAAATAACTTAGTGTTCCGCCATTATTTATTTCATTACATCAGATTTTCAATCTTCCCGTTTTAGAAAACAAATGAGATAATTAATTGTTTATATTGTTTAAGTGTTCATTTGACTATTCATAAAAACAATCCCTTTTATTTTACACATAAAGTTTATATTTCATCAAATGATATGAATGATTTTTTCTGCTTTCGTTAATATAACTTCATTTATGATTTGATGTTTGTCTTTCGTTAGAATAATTGATAAATTCATGAGAGAAATATCACTATTATTAGTATTATAGTCATTTTTAGTTACTATTTCTTTTTCTGTTTACTTGTATAGATGATAAATAATTAATGGAACATTATTATGTGATATACTTATCTATTTGTTCGTTCAGACATACTTATATAAGCACTATAGAATTAGGTAAACTATTGATAAGACAAAAGGCTAGGTGAATCGAAAAAAAACAGTCACAAATAAACAAACTGGATACTCGCTCTTTGTAGTTGTGAAGTGTAGCGAAATACGTGATTTTGTGATATATATATATATATATATATATATATATATATATATATATATATATATATATATATATATAGTTTAGTTAATATTGATAGTTTGAATGACATTAATTACTAACAGTTTGTTTAAAAGAAAAGTACCAGTAAGGTTTATGATGAAAGTGCTTTGAATGTGTTTGAGTGTAGAAATTCCTTTATTTCATTTTTTTTAAGGGGGAGGTTGAGTTATTACTATTAAATTAGATTATAAGTAACAAATTAATTTCTGTTGTTGGCCAGTGGTTAAACGACGTCTGTCGTCTGTTGTTTATATGTTTAGTTTAAATCATGTGATTGGGCTGAGTTAGTTACTTGTTCGTTATGATTTTCAACGACTGGTAGCGTTCATGAAATGTTTACATTTACCTCAATGAATAAGATCAAATGAATTTTCATATAAAACTGGTTATTAACTAAAAACCTGCTAGTAATTGAGGAACATGTCTACAATTGAAACTACTCATCAAATAATGTTTTAGATTTAAACAAGGATTAGTTTAAGGCTGGTATTTCTCATAACGACCATGATATACCATATACCATTAAAGTAGAGGCTAACAGTCATTTTACATGTGCATTTAATTAATCGTAAAGAGTTTTCATTAGCTGTAGCATGGATGACTTCATTAATTCACTAGTTTATAAAATTAACATTTGGATTTTGTTTTGAATTCTTCCAAATTACTTTCTTCGCGTGATCTTGTTGACTTTTTACTTTTGGTGGCTATCAAAGTCAATACGAACATCAAGATAGTTCTAATGTATGGAGTTGAAACTTCGAGAAATACTACAACCATCATCAAGAACGTACAAGTATTTATAAATAGTTGTCTACACAAGATACTCAATATCCGTTGACTGGACATCATGAACAACAGCCAACTGTGAGAGAGAACAAACAAGCTTGCAGCTTAGTAGGAAATTAGGACAAGACATTGGAAGTGGATAGAACATACATTGTAGAGATCACCAAACTGCATCACTAGGCATTCGCTGAATTGTAATGCTGGAGAGAAGCGGAAAGTGGAATGCCAAAGAACACATTATGTCGAGAAATCGAAGCAGATATGAAAGGAATGGATAATAAGTGGAAATAGTTGGAAAGGATTTGCCATGACAGAGTTAGATGGAGAGCGTTTGTGGGCGGCTTATGCTCCTCGACGAGGCTAAATACGTAAGTAAGTAAGTCAATTGACGACAACATACAAAAGAATCAAGTATTGAATACATTTAAATATAAACTCCAGATTATTTTCACTTTAAATATTTCTAATGAAACAACCAATTAAAATCATTTGTGCTTGTAATTTAAAATAGGACTAATTTTTCTGAAATAAACAAATAAATTTGTTAAGTATGAAAAAAAATTTTTTCACAAATTATATTTTGATTCGTTTATGATTGGTCAGTTTGTTTGATCCAATGAGATTATTTCAAATGGTTAAAAATTTATCAAAAAATTTTAAATATTAAAAAAACTGATTCAGAAAGACAAAAAGTGATTTTACTTAAAGGATATTTTATTTAATATGGATAAGTATTATTCTAATAACAATAATAATAATAATAATAATAATAATGTAATACGTATTTCATGAAAAACATGAAATTTCAATAGTAAATTTATTGATAACATTATTACATTTATCATTAAATGAACATGTGGTTTTGGAATAATGCAATATGTGGATTTTGTACTCGGGTTCCAAATGTATTTATTGGCGTAAGTGAAAATTATATTGATCTCATTAAAATCTTATCTAAGAATGAACTTTTATACGATAATTTCTGAAATTTTTTTCTTACATAATTATGTTAATCTATTTTTACCAGCAATTGATGTTTGAACCAGTTTGTTTGTTTTATCAACAACAATGACAACAACAAAAACAAACCAAAATAGAACTATTTGAAATGAATTAAGGAATTAATCTAACCCTTCAATAAGATCATATGATGTTTAGTTGATTGTAGATACTATATTCAGTTGACAGTAATATTATCAATATTCTAAAGATTACAAAAATGAACCCAATAAAATCATTTTACTAAGTTAATTTATATACACACGATTACTAATCAATTGATATTATATTTAATTGTTTACAGTTTGTTGGTAATTAATAATTCTATTTAAGTGTTATATTTGTTGTTAATCAACAAAATGATCTTTCAGTTAATTCTATAAATTAAATTATTAGGCAAGCTTTCATTTGTAAATTAAATATTTATTATCTTGAAAGTTTTATTTTAGGGACAATACGTTGAATCATATACTTTTTTTATTAGAAGAAAATGAAAATGTCAGTATTTGAAATCATGAGTCAAATAAAGCTGGACTACCATGGAAAAATTGAAGGAATTGGATGGCCGTTTCATCCCAGTATGGGACTCCTCATCAGTGCGCATCCACGATCACACATCGCGAGATTTGAACCTAGAGCCTATTAGCCTCGCGCACGAGCGCTTAACCACTAGACTATTGAGCTGGCATCCAGCGATGTTATTGTCTAACTGCAACCACTCCACAGGATTGATAGGTCCCGGGTTCGAATCTTTCGAGGGGAGGGATCGTGGATGCGCACTTCTGAGGAGTCTCATACTGGGACGAAACGGCCGTCCAGTGCTTCCAGGTTTTCCATAGTGGTCTAGCATGAATCGACTCATGATTTCAGCTATTGAAATTTATGAAAATCTCCACGAAACGCTTTTTTGAAAATGAAAGAGATGTAAAAGAGATGTAAATTATATATTGAGAAATTAAGATCATAGTAAGATAAGCAATTATATTTGCGTAGAGATATTTTAGGAAAGATTGATGGTGTCTGATATACGATCTATTTAAATGAGAAATTATTATGAGTATTTAGTCTCTCATTGGATCATATCTGTATGTTACATACCATGAGATCCAAAGGCAGAAACGAAACACACTGAAAATTAGTGAAAACTAGTTTTTATATTCAAATTTAGAAAGCTATCGGTAATTGATCAATTCTGCTAGTGAATATCTTAATTTAGTGTTTACGATTACCAATCATAAATTCTTTGAATCAGTTTATATAGGAGATATTATGTTAAACATTTGATGTAGCGTTTTGTCTCTGTATTCATATAACCACATCAAAGAAGAAAGTGATCGTTTAATGATTAACCTTCATTTAATTAATTTATATATATTAAGGTAATTGGTATAAATGTCAATCATTTTAATTCTTGATAATAAAAACTAAAAAACAATTCATCTAAATAAGATTTGTTATATTTGTTAGTGATCCATTAACATTTAAGAAATATTTTCAAGTGTACATATTCAATAATTTGTCCCATATAGTATTTTGTCATTTAAGCATATAAAACTTATCAAACAATTACTTACTTACGCCGGTTACTACTCGTGGAGGAGCATGAACCGCTCACTAGCACTCTCCATCCAACCCTGTCCGTGAAAACCCTCCCCAGATCTTTCAGCTTGTTATTCATCTTTTTCATATCTGCTTCTGTTTCTCGACGTAATGTGTTCTTTGGCATTCCACTTTTCCGCTTCTCTCCAGCATTACAATTCAGCGAATGCCTAGTGATGCAGTTTGGTGATCTCTACAATGTATGTTCTATCCACTTCCAATGTCTTGTCCTAATTTCCTACTAAGCTGCAAGCTTGTTTGTTCTCTCTCACAGTTGGCTGTTGTTCATGATGTCCAGTCAACGGATATTGAGTATCTTGTGTAGACAACTATTTATAAATACTTGTACGTTCTTGATGATGGTTGTAGTATTTCTCGAAGTTTCAACTCCATACATTAGAACTATCTTGATGTTCGTATTGAAGGTTGTGACTTTGATATTGGTTGACAGATAGTTGTTTTGATTTCCGTTTGATCTTCAATTGTCAAACAATAGTAAAGTATTACATATTTATTTTTAAGTAATAATAATGGGCGTATATGAACTAACTAAATTATATCGAATGAAATAACTTTAATTAGTTTAGAAAGCTTTTAATTATTTACCTAATCTATTATATCGTAGTTAAAGGAAAAACAATGTGCACATTTGTCATTTAATTTTCTTTGTAATATACATTGTTCAATAGATTTATTACTATTGTGAATTGAATGAATGTGAATAAGGATTTTACATTTTTTAAATTGATTGTGAAATGTTTATTATTACTTAGGTAATTGAGTGTTTCAATGATTCTGTGATAGTTCATTCAATTTAAATGAAATATTAAGTACTATACTAATTTAGTATACTGCTACATAATTACAGCTTGATATTTACTATATATAAATAATTGAATTCCATAGTAACTGGCTAACAATAATTATGAGAAAAGAAGAATTGCTTCAAGTATATTGGTATTTGATTAACGAAAAATGATTTGAATCTTTATTATTGTTTTCAATATTTAATTTATATTTTTAGCTAAATATACAATAAGAATATATGTGATTCATTCGTTATTGACTAATAATATGATGGATATGTCGCTTGATCTTTTGGATTGGTTAAAATTAGAACTTGACACAGTTGGATACCGGCTCAGTGGTTTAGTGGTTAAGCACTCACACTCGAGACTGATAGGTCCTGGGTTCGAATCTCGTGGATGTGCACTGCTGAGGAGTTTCATACTGGGACGAAACGACCGTCCAATGCTTCAGCGTTTTTCATGGTTGTCTAGCTTCAATTGACTCATGATCCCAACTATTTTAATAACATCATTATTAGAAGTTTATTATTATTATTATTAGCTTCATTCAATATTATATTTTCGGTGCATTATAGAATTCTCAGCACAAAGTATTTCAGCTAGTTTCTATTTCTTATTTCTTGATCGATTTTGATGATAAATATTCAGTGATTGGCAATAAGGTATTAGCATTTCAAAAGTCGACATCTGAATAATATTGCCATCCATCATGATGTCTATGATTGTATGTTTTTGCAAATTGTACAGCGAAAGGTATTAAACATTTCACAAACGCATCTGAATAGATTATGCAATTAATTGATATAGTGATCTGTTAAGACAAATAAGGAAACTGATGACTTGTTAAAATATCTTGATAGCAGGAACAGATAGCCCAAATATTCAAGCAGGCAGCTTTAGATAATGACTTACATTCTAAATACATTAGTTTATGGGAATCGAATATCATTAAAGTTGACGATTCTACTTTAGATAAGTGCTTACAGTTACAAAACGTATGGAAATAAATACCAATCAGTCAAATAAATGAAATAATGTTTTATATGACATTTAAAAATGAACTTATTATTTCATATTTTTGAGACAGTTGTATGGTATAAACAATTCATAACGATCATTAATATCCAAAACGCACTATTTATTGGTCTTATATATATAGAAAGCCTATTGCTGACAATCGAAAGTAGAAAAAACGATTTTATATATTAAATTCAAATTTTATTTTTGCCCTCTTATTAGTTGTTATTTAATATCGCTCATTTATTCAATTCGAGTGTATCAGTTAAATTCTTCATTTTAACATGATTAATAAACTTAGTCCACTATTATTGATTTAAATATCTTCTATATGATATACAAGAGTATCTCTTTGTTTTTAAACATTTTCCAGAATATAATCTTTAATTCATTAGAATGTTTGACAAGAATTATGTATGCAAAAACATAATTGGTAGATCTCATCTTTTTAAAAAGAAATAGAAATGGTTAGAAACATGTTTATCTAACTAATTATTCTATGAATAATGATATATCACTTCATTTAACTTTAGATATATATAAAAAAAATACAGGTTTCATTTTGTTTCAAAGAGTTCTATTTAATATCATCATTGACTTATTTTATTATATTCTAATGGAATTTTGTTCTTTGAGCTGGATGGTTTAGTCATGGAACTATCATTGTTCTTCTGAATGACATTATCAGTACAAACTTCAGGTAGCTACAAAATTTCACCACCATTTTATTCTATTCTATTATTACATAATTATTTTTCTTTACTATGTACAAAATAATTATTATTTCACATTTATCAATCAATGAGATTTGATCATTCTGAGAAGTTAAACATTCCCGATTTTGGAATATTTCAACATTTAATCAGTAATTTGTATATAAAAAATCGTATAGGTATCAAATATCTAATAGTTTTACACCAATTACAATTGAGTATTATAATCGATGACTAGTAAATTATTTTTCATTGTTAGATTTATATATTTTAATATATGAATTAATTGCACGAAATATACAAACTAACATAGATAGATCTAAATAACTGATATATCTTTCTCTTTTTATCACAATCCTACTGTAAGTTGGTTACTGTCAGTCAAATAAATGTGGAATCATTAAAATAACGGAATACACTAATAGTTGTTTATTTAAATTTCATCCTCAACTTTTTATTTGTAAATAAATAATAATAAAAATAATCTTGTAGTTAAAATCCTTATTATATAAATAGTGGCCAAGAAAAATACTAGCACTGGTAATTTTTATGACATCGAACCCAATAAGATACTTACTGCTTGTTACTACGGACTATACTGAAAAGTGGTTCATGAAGAACAACTGACAGATTCATTTCGAGTGAAGATCAGTGTCAAACAAAACTGATTACTCTCTCTCACTTTCTTCTGGTAGTTGACTGGATTATGAAAATGTTCATATCTCAGGGAAGGCACGGTATACAGTGGACAGTTTGCATGCAATTAGAGGATATGGAATT